CTCAATTCCAAGGCTTCTGCTCACCTGTGAAAGTAGGCCAGTCTCACAAGACATACTTAGTTGTCCTTCTGCCAACTGGGAGATCCCCAAAGCAAAAAAATTCTATTAGTATTTGAGTTTTAATAGTTAAAATGGTGTCTAGCACATAACAGACACTCAGCAAACATAAGAGTAAATGACAGTCCAAGTTTTCTAGTTGCGAGGTAGCATGTGTCCCCAGAGCAACCATCTACAGGACCGAATGGACTTCAGGTAGCATCAACTGTCAGCGTGAATCCTACCTACCACTGACACATCAGTACAAACCTATCCCAGGGTGTAAATAGACCAGGATGGGAGACCATTTGGGGCTTCCCTGATTTTCCTCTTGAATGAAGAAGAAGCTGAAGGTGACTGAAGTCCCAATGCTGTGTAGCCATTTCCTGTCAACTACACCCAACCATACTGAGGGACAGGCCACTCACAGCACAATCTCTACGGCCTCTAACCTCAGTTCCCTTGAAGGACGAGCTGAAGAAAGGCCACTTGTTACCAATGCCTGATGCTTCTGCTACACTCACCAGATGTGGAATGGGACATTCAAACATTCTGTGAAGGTAGGGTTGTTTGTTTTCACCTGTATCAGAGTCCTTGTGTGCTTACCAACAAACCCAGGGCAACAGAAGCCAATGAGACACTGATGGATTTCGGGTAGCAGAGTGGTTACTGCTGGATTCACCACCATGGCTGCTGGAAGCCCTTGCCTCCAGCACCAAGATTAAGTTTTAAACACCTAATGGGATTATTTGAATAACTGGCCCTAGCTGTCAGGGACTGAGAGACCAGATATATTCCCTTTTGCTCCATAGTGGGAGGGAACATCCCAAGATTTACATCGTAGGGGAGGTTCAAACAGATTCTGCTACAGAAAAATGTCAGGCATCCTCTACATCACAGCTCAACAGGACAGCATCTGGGTCCTTTGATGATGCATCGTTTCTTTTTAAGATGAGTAAGACCCAGGCTATCATAAATCCAAAGGGGGCAGATTTCAGATTCATGAGCATTGGCTTGTTAGGAATTCTTCTGTAAAGGCTAAACTTGTAAATTAAATACCCATGAGGTTTTGGAGTTTGTGGTTGAACACATCATGGTACTGACACTTGGCAAAATTCCTGCTCGCAGCACAGATGAATCCAGGAAACTCGACTCTTATCAACTTCCTCCCAGCCCCAAAGTGCAGGACAACTTCACACTGGCTCCTTCTGAGTCCAGTTGTTACTATGGAGGAGATGCTGGGATCCAGCTCAGACCTGACAGAGCACCTAGGTTATGGAGCCAGTGCAGCTCCTGGCTTCAGGGAGGCTGGAGGTGGAGCAGAGGAAGAAGAGCATCTGTGAAAAGAGGGAACAACGTTTCATGGTCGACAAGGAGGCTCCTCGGGCAATAAGCAGAAATGAGATCAGTTATGGCACTGGCCTGACTCAACAGGACAAAGGTGGAATCCGGGAGGGTTAAAGCAAGTGAAGGGAAGGTCACAATAGGACGTTTTCTCACTCCAGAACCAGGATCAGGAACTCCACGGACAGAAATTATACTAATTTCACTAGCAAGAACCTAATTCCACAGTATAGTGATAGAGCAGAACCCAACGTGCTTTCCCCTGCCCTTTCGCTGTCAGCAGGACTTTCTGACAAATGAGAAAGGGGGCTCTTTAACACTGGCAAAGCAAGTCTGGAGTGGACACCAGCCAAGTAGCCCCTAATTCAACTCAGCTCTGATATGGATGCTGTAAACCTGGAGGTAGCGTTCAACTCCACGGGTCAAGGCCTCAGTCCCCAAGCCTGCCCTGCTTCAGATGCCGGTCCCAGTCAATATAATCTTTACATCTAAGCAACAGGGGACAGACTAAGGTTTCCATGGTTCCCTGAAGTCTGACTAATGTGATGGTTCTGTTGATTATGAACCTGACATGGTCTAGGATTATCTAGGAGACAAACCTCTGTGTCTGTGAGAGACTTTCTAGATTCGGTTAACTAAAGTGGTAAAAATCCATCCTAACTGTGGGGACCACCGTCCCATGGGCTATGATTCCAGACACAGAAAGAGGAGAAATCTCACAGACAGTAGCATCATTCATTGCTTCTTTCCCGGATGCTGTGACTACTTTCCTCAAGTGCCTGATGCCAGGACATCCCACCATGATGAATTACCCTTCAACTGTGTGAGTCCACACAAACCCTTCTTCCTGAGGGTTTGGTTGTAGCAATAAGAAGAGTAACTAACACAAGCCGTTTGCTAGAATGTTTCAGAGAGCTCAGGAAAACACTGAGCATATTTTTACAAAGCAGCAGAAGGAAGAGGAATAAAGGTCAGGGTATGGGGAGCAGGCCAGAGTTTCCATACCTTCTGTGAGCCTATCCACGCTTGGCCACCCAGTGGCTCACTCAATGAAATCTTTTAGGGATTCTATAAAGTCTTTATTATTCTGATGTGGTTGGTTGCATCATTGGCTTGGTAATCAACTCAACTCTTGGCCCTTCTTCCTTCCCTGGAGGTTGGAAACAGGGCCAAAAGTCCCAACTCCAGTCATGCTTTGTTTTTTTCTAGTGACCATTCTCCTTCTACAAGCTACCCAGGACCCCTCCAACCCCAGGGTGCTCTTTAGCAAACAAAAGGCATTCCGGTCAATATAGAGATTTCAAGGTTGGAGAAGCTTGCCAGGATGGAAGTACAGTTACAATAATAATATACTCCACAACATCACACAGTTATACCTGCAAATGTGCATAAAAATACATGCACAGAGATGCTCTACTGAGGGCTGTTCAACTAATAAAGATATTATTGTTTAATAAAGGGTGTTGGCAATCATCTTCCAATGATATCATTCAATATATTACCATATATTCATATTGTGGGGGCAAGTATAAAAACACAGTTACTGTACAGAGTTGCAACAGTGCTTTTGATACATTAAGTATAGAGACAGCAAGGTGACAGAAAGGCATCACTCCATCTGTCTTGGTAGTTTTATTTTCCTTGTAAAGTAGGGTCTTCATATATAAACTAGAGATTCCCATGTTGGCCTCTGGAATGTGGGAGTAGATATTCATCACTGTTCTCTGCTTCTGTTTAGACTTTTGAACGTACTCTACAAATAGGCAGGCAGATGACAGATGGGTAGGTACATAGACAGACAGACAGACAGACAGACAGACAGATGAATAATAGAATACCAGGAAAGCAACTTAGAAAATGTGGGAGTAGAGGACTTTTCACTGGGCCTTTTACTGTGAACAGGTCCTCTAACTAAAACTAATTTAAAATGTCATAAAGTAAAAATTAAAGGAGTAAGATTGTTCTAACAAACAGAAAACAAAGAACAAGAAATCATGTTTCCTCAATATGGTTGCCTCTGTAGAGCTAGGAACAGTCTACTTGAAGTCTGGAAGTGGAAACTCCCTATCAATCTCACTGCTCTGAATGTCCTCGAGAGCCTGGCCTCTGGTCAGCTCCAATGAGAATCTGCCCTGATTCTGCCCAGTTACTGAAATAAGTGAGGGACAGGCAGAAGCACCTTTGGGTCTTATACAATAGTTCCGCTCAGGAGGTGTCACCGTAGAGGCAGAGATGCCTGAACACTTCCCCTACATAAAAGCCAGTGGTCCTTAAAATAAGAGACCAGAGAAGGCCAGACTTGAGTGGTCCTGTGGTGTCGGTGGCTGCTCTTAACGTTAATGTAGTTGTTCATTCAAGTGAAAAGATTTCTAACCAGTTGATAGAAGGGTGTGCTGGCTGGGTTTGTCTAACTTGACCCAAGCTAAAGTCTTCAGAATGGAAGGAGCCTCAGTTGAGAAATGACTCCATGAGATCCAGCCATAAGGCATCTTCTTAATTATGGATTGAAGGAGAGGCCCCAGCCCATTGTGGGTGGTGCCATCCCTGAGCTGGTGGTCCTGGATTCTGTTAGAAAGCAGGCTGAGCAAGCCAGAAAAAGTAAGCAGCATCCCTCCATGGCCTCTGCATCAGCTCCTGCTTCCAGATTTCTGCCCTGTTTGAGTTTCATCCAAACAACAGAAACAGTATCTAAAGAGCTCTTCCTAGCTTCCTACCCACATAAGAAATTCTGCCCATACCAGAGCCTATTGAAACACCCTCCAGTGCCTGGAAGATAGGATCAGAGATGCATCAGACATATGTGGTCTACACAGCTCTCATTCCCCTATTTCATGTTGTCCTAACCCTGGACCACCTCTTCCCCCTTGTCCAGATTTCCCTCTTCCTGAGCTCCAAGGAGCCATGTTTGCTGTGGAAAGATGAGCAGTTAAGCCCCTCCTCCCTAGCTATATCTCAATGTCAACATCTGGAGATTCAAAGATCTGATTTTGTCCTTTTACTGCAGGGAAACTCCCAGAGCTGTCTGGGAGCCCACACTTAGCACCCCATAGAACAAGGGCGGCTGAAGAAGGTCCAAGATGTCCCAAAGCAGTGGTGGAGGTGGAGGACGGGAGTTCAAGCCTGGTCAACACTTTGGCTGTGGACAGTGACCATCAACTCTTCCTATGCTGTAGGCTCACGACCTCTTTGCCCTCTACGCTCCACTCAGCTGTTTCAGGGGCAATCTGCTAGTGTGATGTCCACCACTGCCAAGGTGAGGAGGCCTGGTCCAACTCCACCCTCATCCACATTTTTCAGGGAAGAGGCTTCCTGGCTCTTCTTCCTATGTCACAAAGGGTCTCTTCACACAACCCAAGGTGCCAAAGTGGGGTTTCCTCAGACACTAAAAGGCAGGTTCCTTTGGGGTGTTTCCCAACAGTACTACCGAAACTTGGTCAGACTCAGGTTGCCTTCTGAGGCTCAGCGCTAGCTGCCTTAGGGTCTAGCCTTCACCTTGAAGCACCAGAGCCCCAATCCCTGCCTGGCACGAGGTGGTCAGGAAACAGTTAGAGGTCACCAGACTAGGTGCGGCTGCGTCCCCACCCCCCACGCACGCACAAACGCTGGGTCGCCCGAACCCTATGCCCCGCAGCGTTCGATCTCAGGACCGGGACACCCTGGGCCACGGTGCCCTTGGCTCGGCGCGCGGCGCTGTAGCAGCGCCCGCCTCCCGCTTCCCGCCTCCTGCCTCGGTGGCCGCGCAGGGTAGGTAGCTGGGGGGACCGGAAGGATGGCGAGGAAGTCGGAGAGGGTTTCCTGAGATGAGAGATTACTTCCGTCCGCGCGCTGGCCTCTCTCTGGAGCCGGCTGGCTGGGGCTCCGGGAGCGGGGTGCGCGGGGCTCGGCCGCGCCTTGCCACCTGCAGCGCCCGGGCAAGCCGCGGGGCGCTGCGGCTACGGCTCACCCCAGCCATCCTTGCAGGTGGGAGTCGAGAGCATCCCCAAGCGCCCAAGCCATGGTGGCCAAACAGCGGATCCGGATGGCTAACGAGAAGCACAGCAAAAACATCACCCAGAGGGGAAACGTAGCCAAAACCCTGGTAAGCCGGGGGCGGCGCCGGCCGGGCCGAGCTGGCAGGACCCGCGGGGCGGAGCGGGGCGGAGCGGGCGGGCCGCGGGCTCGGAGCCAGGCCTCCCGGCCCCTCCTCCGGGGTCCCGCAGGCTGGGGGGACCCAGTCGGGCTCAGGGGGCACAGACTGCTCTGCTTTCTCGTGGGCGGAGAGGGCTCTGGTTGGTGGAGACTTCCCAAGAGAGAATGAGCCGTCGTCCTTGAAAAAGGCTAAAAGCTGCATCTTAGGGGCCGGTGAAGCCAACTGGGCTGGGAGCCTAGTAGGCGAATGAATGAATGAATGAATAAAGTAGGGAAGGAACGAACGAATGATAGAATGCCACTTATACCCAGCTTCCAAACTCCGCCCCTGGACTCTCCTCACCCCACCCCCATGCTACGGTTTTCTTTCCACCTTTTTT